ACTGATACATCTATCCATAATGCACAGGTCCACGAAGTAATGCCTCATACGGGAGGTGGACAACTAGGTCTTCCATGACGTCGAAAAAAGTAGGCGGAAATAATTTCTCCAAGTTGCAGATTAAGACGGGGATGTTTTCATGAAGTTGTTGGACAACTTCCACTTTAAGAGTACGGGTGCTCAGATCCCTAAAAATGCTCCAGTTCCTTATATATTACAAAAACAAAATTATCCACATTAGTATATATATATATATATAAACAAATCAATCATATCATCGTATTATATTAATTACCTGAAAGTGCTTCATGTACTTTTGCCGGTAGTAGCTCCGCAAACGCAAAGGGAAGTAGTCACTGCATAAAGACATGACAATCATGGCTCTTCATCTCGGAGAACTTTTGCCCTTTCTAAACACATCTTGAGAGATTTGAAACATACCCATCAGGGAACTTCACTTCTGAAGCCACCCAGTTGAACAACACAGACTTTTTTCTGATGACAGTCTGAATATTTGAACTGGAACTTTCTCATTGCTTTTTATATGTAGCTCACTCCTTGAGCAGATATCGGGTAAGTCCAACCTTGATTTTACGTTGTGTTTCGTCTTCCCTAGGACATTCAATATAGTGTTCACAATATTCTCAAAAAAGTTCTTCTCTATATGCTTCACAACGAGGTTGTGGCGCAAAAGAAGATCTTTCCAATATGGCAATTCCCAAAATACACTCTTTTGTGCCAATTATGCTGAACACCATAAGAATCAGGCATATTACTGGGAACATGCCAATTCCCACCACGAGGAGCTGTTTCTAGAGCACAGTAGTAATCGATTTGCGCTTCGATTTGTTCTCCGGTTAAATATGGAGGAAGAGTGTCTCTAACAACCCTTTTGTGCATGAACAATTTCTTGTTTCTTTGGTATGGGTGGTAAACGGGAAGAAATCGAACCAACTAGTCTTCCTACCATGCTTCAACTGAAACGCATCTGTCATTCCATTACAATATGGACAAGCTAATCTCCCATGTGTAATCCACCCAGACAACATCCCATATGCAGGAAAGTCACTTATGGTCCACAAAAGCATCGCTCACATCGTAAAGTTTGTTTTCGTTGAACAATCATATGTGCTCACCCCCTGTTGACCACAAATCTTTCAACTCTTTTATCAGTGGTTGTAGAAAAACGTCGGGAGATCTTTTTGGATGTTTTGGACCAGGTATTAATATGGTCATGAACAGAAACTCTCGTTGCATGCACATCTCCGGTGGAAGGTTATACGGTGTAAGAAAGACCGGCCACAATGAATATTGTCTCCCATACATTCCAAATGGACTAAATCCATCAGTGCATAATCCAAGATACACATTCCGTCTATGGCTAGCGAAATGTGGATGTACATTGTTAAAATGTTTCCAGGCTCTTGCATCTGATGGATGAGTCATCTCTCCATCAGTCTGAGTATGCTCGGCGTGCCATCTCATCTCTCCAGCAGTCTCCTCAGATTGGTACAATCTTTTCAATCTGTCTGTGATTGGTAGGTGTCACATCATTTGGTACGGTACACTATTATGTCCTCGATCTTGCGGTTTGAATCGTGGCTTCTTACAAAATCGACATTTTTCTAACTTCTCATCATCTCCCCAGTAAATCATGCAGTTATCGATGCAAACGTCTATCATCTCTGAGGGTAACCCAAGACTATATACCAATTTTTGAATCTGATAATAAGATTCAGCAGACATATTGTCTTTTGGCAAATACTCTTTAAACAAGTCTGCCCATGCATCCATACAATTTTCAGGTAGATTGTGATCGGTTTTTATACTCATCATTCTAGCAGCCAACGACAATTTAGACAGACGTTCTCTACAACCACTGTAAATTGGCTCATTCGCACCTTCTAACATTTCATAAAACTTTTTTGCATCTAAGTTAGGTTCTCCAACTTCATCATCATCATGATTTACAAATGCATCACATACCATATCATGAACCCTATCACAATCTACCATTTGTTCCTCTTGGTAATGATAGCTATTTTCATTACGCAAATGATCAACCAGTTCAACCTGAAAATTGCTATTACTACTGCTACCTTCATTCCTACAACTAGCATCGTCTTCTCCATGTTGATACCAAATATAATAATATGGCATGAAACCTCTATTTATTAAATGCTTCCAAACATTTTCACGAGGGTCTAATTTTGTATTGCAACATTTTCGACAAGGACAGAACATCTTACCACTTTCCTGCGTGAGTGGTGTAGAATCTGTTTGATGCATAAAGGTCTCAAACCCTTCGAGAAATTCTTTCGTCACCCTCCCGTTGTTATCTCTGTGTGAATACATCCACTTCCGCAACTCGAAAATATTTCCCGGACCGGACATTTTTTTTTTGTGTTTGATCAAGCTTATAGCTGATTTTTTTTTGTGTGTTTCAAATGAATCACAAATTGTGGTATTTATAGAAATTTTCGAATCTGAGCATTTACTAAGAAATTGCTAGGAAATGTAGGTACAAAACACGTTTTTATTTAAATTCGATATTTTCTATCTAGTTCCTCCTAATTTCGTAGTAATAAATTCATTCCTCCTAATTTCGTAGTAAGGCTTTACTAGGACTTTACGAGAAAAATTTGTTACTACGAGCTTACGAGGAAATGGACTTTCGCCACGTAGTTTCCTCGTAAGCTTATTACGGTGTTACGAGGAAAACGGTTTCTCGTAGCTGTACGAGGACCTTACGAGGAAACAAATTTTCCTCGTAAAACCGAAGTAAGTTTGTAGTAAATTTACGAGGAATTATTTTTCTAATAAAATTTCTTAGTAACTTCTTAGTTTTTTTTGTAGTGATTCGTTTCCAGGCTACACAACGAGAATTCCACGTAACGGGTGCTTGAATGGATCACAAGCTAACACTGACATATTTAAATCCATTATGATTAATTTAATGAATTGTTTGATTAATAGTAGTATAATTATACATCACCACATGAGCTCTCTGTCTGTCTTCATGCATGCACAGTTCCACATATACGGTCTATATACATTTGACCTCTTCAATTATAATATCGTTTTTTCTTTCTTTCTGCTCTGAATTATTAAGCGAATGTGAAGGGAAGAAAAAAAAAAGCCGTCCATGCGTCTGTTCATGTCCAACTTGTTTGTATCACGTTATAAACCATCATGCAATTAAAACGGACAAATACGAGAGAATGTAAATGTAGTAGCAGAAAGTTTTTTTGGGTCAGTTATGAAGAGTTAAGTATGTAAATGTAGTAGCAGCAAGATTTTTTTTTTGTTTGAACAGCTTAGCAGTAAGTATTTTAAGATTTGGTATTTCGACCCCTTTTATTCCCACGTGTTTCTTGTTCACCTAACTACAACTACAAGTCCGCAAAATTACAAACCCCCACCCGACATACAGCACGTTAAGATTTTTTTGTTACCATAAGAAGCTTTTAACTTGTTTTGTTTGATGTACAGTAATACAGCTTGGCTAAAATTATTTATTTTCTTTGGCATTACGAAACATAAAAAATGTTAATTGTATTAATGGGCTTTTTTTAAACAAGTTTTTTTTGGTGTAAATGTTATTTTTTTAAACAAGTTGATTGTTTTAATGCCATGTTACTTTTTCTATAGGTAATTGCCTGTTTTGAAAAATACAGTATGATCTTTTTCTTGGAGTTCTGATTTTTTGGATACTCTAACAAAATGCTCATCAAAGATGCTAAAAGATATCCACTAAGATTCTTTTTCGAATATACTTATCGTGTTATTAGAAAAGCGTCAAATCAAAAAAAATATATATAGCATATAACCCCCAAACTAGTATAGTAATTCAGAAAGTTGTAGGGCATTACCTTAATATATATATATATAGGGCTGGACATTTTATCCGTTATATTTGATTCGATTCGTTATTCGTTTCGATTCGATCCGAAAATTCCGGATATCCGTAAACTTTCGAATCAAAGCAAATACTAAAATTCAATATCCGTTAAAATCAAAGCAAATCACAAATAGTAAAATTTTGGGAAGCGGATATCCGATCCGATCCGTAAATATATAAATCTATGTATATCTTGATTATATTTAACATTTTAAATGTATAAAATTATATAATTATTACTCTAGCATATGATTTTGAACAATTCTATTCAAATTATTACTTATATAAAAGTATTACATAAAAAGAAAGAAAGAAAATTATGACAATTATATTTTTTTCTTAAATTTTGTGTTATTATAATTGTAACTTAAGCTTAAAAAAANATTTAACATTTTAAATGTATAAAATTATATAATTATTACTCTAGCATATGATTTTGAACAATTCTATTCAAATTATTACTTATATAAAAGTATTACATAAAAAGAAAGAAAGAAAATTATGACAATTATATTTTTTTCTTAAATTTTGTGTTATTATAATTGTAACTTAAGCTTAAAAAAATTACAAAATATATAAATTTACTAGTTCTTTTAAGTTTTATTTTATATATCATGCAAAAAAATATTTTTGCAAAGTAAATTTGTATCAAAATTTTAAGATTATTTGTATTAATCAAAATGGATGAGATATCCGTAAATATTCGTAAATATCCGCAAATATCTATTTATTTTCCGGATATCCGTTTTTCCGGATATCCGTATTTTTTCGAAGCAAAGCAAATACCAAAATTAGATATCCGTAACATTCGAAGCAAATCACAAATACTTAAAAAAACCCGAATATCCGATCCGTGCCCACCCCTATATATATATATATAAACTACAAGGCATGAGAACTAGTTTTTTTCAGAAATATTGTATGGTGTTGATAGAGAACAAACTCCTCTAGGTATTTCTCCCCGGAAAAGGTAAATATTTTCAGAAATTTATTTATTTATTTAATCTCGACAAAAAAGAAGATATTTTAAAAAGTAATTTCAAAAGCAAGAAAAGGGATCATTTTAAGTGAAAAAGGGACGAGAAGAGTCAGTGGAGAGAAAAAAAGTGGAGCTTTTTTCATATCTCCTCTCCTTCTCTGTCCTTTTTACTTTTCCTCCATCAGAAAGATTTCGCCGGGGGCGATGGCGGAGGAATTCTTAGCGACGGAGATGGACACGGCGGTGCGTGTGGTGCACCTCGCTTCTTCTCTCTGTGTTAAAGTCCAGGACAAGCTTCGTCTTCCTTCATCCGCTAACGGTCACGTTAAGTCTAAGGATGATGATTCCCCTGTCACCGTCGCAGGTTCCTTTTTCTCTCCCTCATCGTGATGTGGGTTTTTGTAGGGTTATGCGTTCGATCTAATTGTGGGTTTATTGCAATTTGAGATCCGTTTGGGTTCTTCTGTTTCAAATGTTTATCAATCCTTGTCACTGAATTGAGCTAAAGACATAACCATAGTTACTTTGCTGTGTCCTTTTGTTCACTGGACATGGAAACATAATGTTTAAACAAAAAAAACTACACTTTATGTTGTGTAATAATGCTAATTCATTTTACTTTCTACAGTTTTTTATAATGTAATTAGACTGAAGAAATGATTGTTTGTATTAGTACTTTAATCGTGTGTAATAGTGAAAATGCATATATTTTTGTTTCAAAAATCCCAAGTTTTAACTGACACTACTTGAGAAAGTGTGTGTGTTAGCTTAACAAAAGTACCAGATTGTATGTGTTTTAGTGTGCGATGTGCGAGTTCTTTGAGGTGTCTGCATTGATGAGATTGGTACTTGAGAGAGACATCAGATACTATGATTGTATTTTGCATAGCTCTTTTTTTTTTTAGTTTCCTTTTTGAATTTAAGTGAATTTGAATGTGTTTGGTTTAACAGATTGGGGAGTTCAAGCGATTGTGAGCTGGGTTTTAGCCCAAGTTTTTGGTGGTCAAAACCTTTCGATTGTTGCTGAAGAGGACACTGAGTCTCTCTCCAAGGCTGAGTCATTAGGTCTCTTAGGAGCTGTCTCCAGTGCTGTCAACGAAGCCTTGTCTGAAGCTTCCAAGTACGGGCTTCCAAAGCCTGATAAGCCCTTGGAAACGACTGAGATTCTAGAAGCTATTGGTCGATGCAACTCCCTTGGGGGTCCTAAGGGAAGGCACTGGGTTCTTGATCCCGTCGATGGGACGTTAGGATTTGTCCGTGGTGATCAGTACGCTGTTGCTTTGGCTCTGATAGAGAACGGTAAAGTTCTGTTGGGAGTGTTGGGATGTCCTAACTACCCTGTCAAGAAAGAAGGGTTAAGCAACGGTTGTAACCAACCTGGAACCAAAGGGTGTGTCATGTATGCAAAGAAAGGAAGTGGTCAAGCTTGGATGCAACCGTTGATCCCTGGTGGATATCCTGAAGCTGCAACGCTTCTTAAGGTTTCATCAGTTGATGATCCGGTTTTAGCTACGGTTTGTGAGCCGGTAGAGAGAGCAAACTCAAACCACTTGTTCACTGCAGGACTTGCCAATAGCATGGGAGTTAGGTAAGGTAACTTATTGTTGTTTTGTTATTGACTTCTGTTTACAAACGTCTCTCAACTACAATACTCTTTCTTCTCCAGGAAAAAGCCGTTGAGAGTGTATAGCATGGTGAAGTATGCAGCGATTGCATGTGGAGACGCTGAAGTGTTCATGAAGTTTGCACAATCGAGTTACAAAGAGAAGATATGGGACCACGCAGCTGGAGTGGTGATTGTGGAAGAAGCTGGTGGTGTGGTGACTGATGCTGGAGGGAGGAACTTAGACTTCTCAAAAGGAGTTTACTTGGAAGGTCTTGACAGAGGGATCATAGCGTGTTCTGGTCAAGTGTTGCATGAGAAGCTTATAGGTGCTGTCTATGCTAGTTGGGAGTCTTCCAGCCTCTAAAAAGATCTTTTTTAGCCACAAGCCTCATCATCGAGCTAACGTTTTATTTAAAAGCAAAGGTAAAGAAGAAACTAATTTGTCTATTATAATCCGTTTTATGGAAATTTGGAAAACCATTTGGTTATGTCTAGTAGAATAGCTAATCTTTATTCTGAACGGTATTCTTTTCGAAGAATTTGCGGTTTTAACTCGGTTTATTTTTTCCGGTTTGGATGGATATATAGGTCGAGGCAAGTGGTAAGCTACGATTTGCAGAGTGGGTGAACGTAAATACTAAAAGAAGCAGCGGTAAAAGAATCTTACTATCTACTATCTACTATAGTAATAAAGCTGTTGCAAATCACGTACCCTTAATGGATGATATATAAATTTTTTTATCTTCGTCCTGTAATTTCTTACCTTCAAAACGTGGATTATGCGTAAACTGTTTTTTAACAAGATAATAAACAGTACTCAAAAGGCTGAAGGATAACTTTTAGGAACCGTAACCAATGGAATGGAATTAGACAATTTAATAGATAGTTCACTAAAATAACATTATGCTACTCAAACTGTGGATGGAAAATGGATTTCATTTGTCTCTGAATTTAAAACTATTTCAAAATTCAACGAGAATTGGGGGTATTTAGTTTATTATCAACCAACAAATCCAGTTTAATTAACTTATTGTTGTTTTATTGACTTCTGTTTACAAACGTGGCGTTTATTATCCTCACTGCTTATCCATTTTCCGGTGGTTTTACTGGTTAATTGGCATTCTTTAAAAAAAAGATATAAGTTAACTATGAATCTATTAACTCTGGAATTGTTGAAATGTTCCGCTGATTACTAGGGATAAAATTAAAAATCTGGATTCCCCCATCGTCAGGTGATCAAGGCGTACTCCGGCCAATAATGTAGACTGATATAGATACTCACCGCTAGTCTAGATCTACCTTAGTGGATGTCAAGATAGACCAGGATATTACAAAAACAAAAACAAAAATTGTTGAAATGGGTAATTTAGATTTCCATGTCGTCTTTACTATATTTAAAACGCTATCAAAACTCTCATATTCGTGCATACTCGGTTCCTTTGAGAATATATCTTGTATGTTTCTTTAAAGGTGGTGGTTCTTTTCCTCCCCTCCCTTGTGAACGCCATAGATTTTCAATTGATTTTTGTTGGTGAAGGAGGCAAGGAGCTGATGGGTGGTGTGTAGTAGCGATATGTAGAGGTTGGAAGATCTTGAACTGATAAAATCTTTGTTTTGAAAGAAATAACATAGTGAGTGAAAAGGATCTCTGGTAGACTGACCATGGAAACAGTCTCTTGATCAACACTCACTTCTTTCTCGCTCGAGAAGTCTTTTCTGGTGAGATTATCCGTTAATAATCTTTCACTAACTTCTATTGACCACGTCATTTGGTGGTGATTGCGTTTGTGTTCCTAGTGTTCAATTTTCTTGGACCCTCGAATCCCCTATTTTCTGTGATGGTTCGACAGTACTGTTCGACATGGGTCGTGTGTTTTGCAGAAGCGTCTTTTCTCAAATAATCGACTAAGACTTCCGAGGTTTTCTTTTGTGGTTTAATTCTTTCCAACCTCTATAGTTAGAAACCATTTGAAGATTGGTAAATTGGACTATTTTTTTTTATTTTTCTGTTTTTTTTTTTTACATTTCTGTTTTTTTTTGTTACAAAAAGAATAAAAAAGTTAAACGGAAAAGCCTTAGAAAAAATAGAAAGAAAAAGAAATTCAGCTCAGTTTTGCCATAATATTATCTATTGGTCTGTAGTCTTTTCTCATGCTATTACATATCTTTAATTTAAATGAACTTTTATTAATCAACCTTGTTCTTTTTGTGATATTTTTAAGTATTATGAAAATTTGAATGTTAAATTTGAAGTTTAGACTATGGTTAACTGAAGTTTCAGAAAATTTAACGGGTTTAACCTAAAAGAAGTTGAAAGAACAAATCCAATGGTATCCGAATACTTTTTCCAGTGTTTACATGTATAATCGATATGAAATTTTACCAACTCGACACTGAGTAGAACCAAATCACTACTCTAGGTATTTGTATGGGTCAAAAAATGAACTGGTCTAAACCTAACCTGAAAATCTTCATCCTCAAAGACTAGTGGTTTCTTTTAGGGCTAATAGATTGTGATTATTGGGCCGCCTTAACCAGTTTTGGGATGGATCAGATTTTGAATGGTTTTCCTCAACTCAATTTCTAGTTTGTTTGATCTTTATTTTTCTTCTTTAGGGAACTACATTCCGCTATTTATTCACTTTTTCGTTGGTATGAAAAAGTATCAAATCAGACCAAAACTAAAACGCTTGAAGTTGATTAAGCCGACATGTTTGGCACCCTAAGAGAGGTAGCTTTTAGTTGCTAAACTGTACGTAGTAGTCTAAAGGTCAAAAGTAAAGATAGAATGATAGATTCTGCCGACAATCCCTTGGATTTGATGCTAATTAGAAGATTTTACTCTTTAAAAACCATCAAAATTCAACCTTCTACAAGCTTTTCTCACACATTTATCATTATTAGTGACAGTTGTATCTTCATCTTTACTTTTGTAAGTACATAATTATTCTAATAATTAAATTCTATAACTAATAGAGGAGGGCCAACGTGTCAGTGATGATGCATAGATGGGTTAGTTGATAAACATCTCTATCTGATGAATTCAATTCTTTCTTTGTAGTTCTGAAATCAAATCTTTAAATGTTATTTTGTTAAAGTGATAACAATACATAGCTACAATTATTAAAATGTTACAAGAGATTGGTAAGATACTATCATACAGAACTGACAGAAGCATATGACATGCATAATAGTTTCATTTACAGTATACATGTAGGCTTATTTCAGAATAGTAAACAAATATTATGAGCTTTGTCTGCCGAATTCTTTTCGCTTTTGTAAACATAACAAACAAACAAAAAGTTACTAGCTACGCACATCCCACAAAATGTAAAGATACCGTTTATAAAACTAAAAAGACAACTACAGACTGATCTCATTAAGCGAATGATATAATAACTTGGAAACTTGTCGACTGTAAAAATGTAATATGCTTGCCGGAGAAAAACTATGACAACAGAAGATGCAGCTTATAAATGATTTATATCTATATATACACATTACATTATTTATAAAAAAAATGGAACTATCTCAACCAGATACATGTTCAAACTGGTAATATATAAAATTATGGCATGTGTCTTCCCACATTTTAGAACAGCTAACTAACAACACGTGTATGAACCCTTCATCTCAAATGAATTAATTATTTTAAATTCAGGAATTAATTATTTCTATGTGAACTACCATACTTTACTGAATTATCAGACGAATTTTCTCATATATAACTTTGATATTTCTTCCATGTATATATTATTAATTGGAATACTAACAGAAAATATATAATTGACAAACAAATTTCTAACATCCAATTTACATGTGTACAATTACAACATAAATTGGAATCATACTTATCAGTATTTTAAGTTAATATCTTTATCAAAAGAAAAACATATACTTGAAGTTAATTTTCTGATGAAAGAAAATAAGTGATAATAAATTCCATGTGCCTAAGCAAGCGTCGAAGTCAGATTCGACATATGAAAGACCTTAGCATGTGCCTTCTCCGTTCATAGGCACCATCAATTCAACTCTTTTTTTTTTTTTGCATTTCTAGTAAAGGATACTGGTTTCTAATATTACAGATAGACGTTGAAAGTTACTAACAGCTTACAAATAAAATTGGTGTGATATTTGAAGGTTTTATAGAGACAGTTAGTTAGTGATAGTTGAGTGAAAACTCTCCATCTATTCTACTAAAGTCAAAGTACAAAACATTACTTATCTATTTTAACTTATTTTTTACAGATTTTTATTCTGTTTTTAATTAATTCTAATTATTTTATTTATTATCTTTTTAAAATAATTTGATATCATTTATTACAGAAATATAAAACTACCTAATTTGAAGGGTTTTATTATATCTTTTACATTCTTTTTCTCATTATTTTAACTAATTCATTAATTATTTTTACTATAATATTTTGGCATCATTGATTTATATATTAACCTTAATAATTCGAAATTTTGAATGAAATTGATTCATTTCTGAAAAGAATTCAAAATAGTTGATCAAAATTCTTTTTAATTGTTTACAAAATTAGTTAGACATACACATTCAGGTAACCGTTCATGTATGAAGCATTTTTTGGGTAGCATTTTTTTTTTTGAAATTAGACTTCATTTATAAATTTCTGGGTGGATTTCTGGGTGGATTTCAAGATGGATTCGGTTTTGATATATATAAACTTTAAAAAATCTAAAACTAATGTATCTTGAACAGATTTAGATATTTGTACCAAAATCATTCATATTAACTGATTTAGTTCAGATATTTTGAATCCAAACTAAATAACTAAATAATCAAAAGTAATCCTATGATGTATATGAATGTAAAAATATTTAATTAATGATATGATGATACATATAATATATAACACTAATTATGACAAATAAAATATTAGTTTTTAAAATATAAAATTTAATATCCGCACATCAATCTATAAATTATATACGTATTGTACCTAGCTAGATGTATGCGATATTTCCTCTTTTAATAAGCTTTTATTAGAAATAATATCCAGTTAGTTTTCTTACTATAAAATAGAAGGAAAAACGATCAAGCTTCATGTCTTCCAATTTTAAAATCAAATTGTTTTCTGAACTTTAAAATCAATTTTGAAGACAAGGATGTTCTCTCTCTCCTTATTTGTTTGTTCTTTGTATGAACGTTCTCTTTCAAAATTGATAAGGCAGTAAAAGACATGAAGTTTGGGTTTCATCCGAGATAAAAATACTCTGTCGCTTACTCATTTGTGTTTTGCCGACGACCTTATGGTCTTTGTGGAGGGTAAGAAAGACTCGGTGGAGGGAGTGTTATCTGTATTTGAAGATTTCGAAGCCTGGTCAGGGTTAAGTATTAGCCTTGAGAAGTCAACGATCTATATGGCTGGAGTTTCTGGTGAAGAGAAAAGTAGAATATTGTCTAATTTCCCGTTTGCTGAAGGAGTTCTACCTGTTAGATACCTGAGACTTCCCCTGATGACTCATGCAATGAGAAGGAATGATTACACTTCGCTTGTTGAAAGAATCAGAGGCAATATTAGCACTTGGAACTATCGATTTCTCTTCTATGCTGGCAGACTTCAACTGATAAAATCGGTCTTGATGAGTATAGTGAACTTCTGGGCTTCGGTTTTTCGTCTTCCAAGCAAGTGTATTAAAGAGATTGAGCAACTGTGTGCATACTTCTTATGGTCAGGCCCTGATCTGAAAGTAATGAAGGCAAGGGTGGGATGGAAAGATATATGTAAGCTCAAAGATGAGGGAGGGTTAGGTGTAAGAGCTCTTAAGGAAGTAAATCTGGTTTACGGGTTGAAACTTATCTGGAGGATCCTTACTGGAAGTTCTCTTTGGGGTAAATGGATAAATATGTTTCTTCTCAAAGGAAAATTTTTTTGGCAGATGAAAGATAAAACTCAAAATGGATCATGGATGTGGAGAAAAATCTTGAAGTTGAGAGAGGTGGCGAAGATTTTCTATAAGAAAGTGGTGGTGGGTAATGGCAAAGATACCTCATTTTGGTATGATAATTGGTCGGAACAAGGAGTTTTGATTGATCAGTTTGGGGATGGAGGGATTATAGATATGGGTGTTCGAAGGGATGCTAATGTGGAAGAAGCAGTACTGAGTAGAAGGAGAAGAAGAAGGCATCGTACGCTTGAGCACAATCGTATTGAAGAGGAACTGTTGATCATAAAGGAGGGAATGAGAAATAATGAGGAGGATCGTTCTATGTGGTTGAGTGGTACGAAATATAAGGGTAAGTTCTCAACAAATGATACTTGGATGATGTTGAGGGATGCAAATCAGAAGTGTGGATGGGCTAAAGGAATATGGTTCTCTCAAGCTACACCGAAATTTGTGTTTGTTACTTGGCTAGCTGTGCTTGATAGACTTCCCACAATGGAAAGGATCTCAAGGTGGAGTCAGGGCATAGAAACGACTTGTGTGCTTTGTAAGGCTGCTTCTGAAACCTGGGAACATCTCTTTTTTGAATGCTCCTTCTCTTCTCAGGTATGAGAACATATTATGAAAGGAATGCTGCGAGAATGTTATACCAATATCTGTTCTGAATTCTGTTGCTGTTGACGAATGGAGTTAGAGAGAAGAAAGTTCTGTTTTGCATCAGATACGCTTTTCAAGCAAGCGTACATTCTATGTGGAGGGAGAGGAATAAGATCAGGCATGGAGACAAACCTCTTCCTATGTCTAGTCTGAAGAAATTTATTGACAAAGGCATTAGGAATAAGCTATGTATTTTGAGTTCAAAACAGATTAGAGGAATGGAGAATACTCTTCAAATTTGGTTTGAAACAAGATTGTAAATAGGAGTTAAATGGGTTGGGGTTTCATTACAGTCTACACTTGATGTAAAAAGACTTTTTTGATGAATAAATTTAACATGGAGTTTATAAATAAACTCATTTAATAACACATGTAAAGATTGAACGAAATCTTAATGAATAGAAGAGAAATGTTGTTTAAAAGGTATGAAACAAAAAGCTAAGGCATGAATAATCATGTATGATTAAGGGAAATGGAACAAGTTAAGGCATGAATAATCAAAAAGCTAAGGCATGAATAATCATGCATGATTAAGGGAAATGGAACAAGTTTGAATATTTTCAACGACAAAACAAGAAAAAAGAAAGTTAACTTTAACTAAGGGACTTTATATATTCAATTTCTTATGAAAATAAATATACTCTGAACTCTGGAGAGTGATAACTCACCAAACAAACAAGTTGAAATTCAAGTTACAAAAAGAAATAATTTAGATTCAAATTTAAAAACTTGTAGGAAATAAAAACACTAAAGAGTGGTGGCCACTCACCGAACAAACAGCCTAAATTCAGATAAAATGCCATTAATGATAAAAACAAATAATCATAAAGAAATAAAATTAGGGACGGTTTACACTTTAAAAAATAATAATATTACCAAACAGTCATTCATCTCACGTTTGTGTTTGACTGTTGAATACAACAAACGAATAAAACGTCTATGTCACCGTTACTATTATGCATATACGGGGATGGATGTTTTTCATGTAGAACTTCTTCTATACATATACATATGTATGTGTGTAATGTGTATAGATTTTATCAGATATAAAGCTTCATTGTGATTGTTCTGTAATAAAAAGAAAAAAACTGACGGTCTGAACTGTGTCAGAGAAGGGTTCCTCTCTCTCTCTCGTGTTACATCGTTCTTTGAACATATTCTTGTAACCGTCTCTGTTTCATCTTCTTCTTCTTACAAGACTGGTGGTTTCTTGAAACATTTGAGATTCGATCTAATGGGGAAGACTAGCGGGACGAGAGACTGGGCTCAGATCTACGCCATTTACGGGATCGAGCAGAAACACACTCTCTTCTTCCTCCTCCTCAACGCCATAGCTTTCTCTCTTCTCTCCACCGTCTTCTTCCTCTACTTCCACCCCATCTGCCTCTTCCTCGAGTCTTTCCTCTTCTCCAACTCCGCCGCCGCGGCTAGATTCTCCGCTGGATTCTTTGGAGCTGTAACGGCCCTCTCCGCCGTGTGTTTGTTCTTTGCGGCGGCGAACTTCTTCTACTCCGCCGTGCCTCTACGGTACGAGATGGCGCAGAGGATGGTAGGATCGGTGGGAGATTGGTCGAGCGTGAAGATGGCGCTTGATCTTGGCTGCGGTCGAGGGGTCTTGCTGAATGCGGTGGCGACTCAGCTGAAGAAAACCGGTAGTTCGGGTCGGGTTGTTGGGTTGGACCGATCCATGTCCACTACTCTCTCTACTCTCCGCACGGCTCACATGGAAGGTGCGTCTTGTCTTGAGTTATTAATTCCGTTGACTTTTTTACTCTTGTTTTACGTTTCAAAGTCGTTTCTCGTTGACCAACAGATTTCTTTTCTATTTTTTAAACGAGATATTGCGTGATTAACGTTTTTTCAAGTAATTAGTAGATGCAACGTTCTTTTACAGTTTAATAAAGTAATAATGACAAAGTTTATCTAGTAGTATACATTTTTGATTACACACGATGATACTTAAAAAAAAATTGAGATGAAAAAATGACAGTTAAAAAAAAAAAGAGATGAAAAACGAATGAAATATTGTTTTGTAGAAATACTAATTTTTTTGTTTGACCAAAGAATAATATTTTCTTAATAATACATGTCATTATCTTTCGAGAGATCAGATTTTCTGTATTCTTATATTATAATTAGATCCAATAAATCAGTTTCATTTAGGGGTGTTCAATACAGATTTTGATTCGGTTTTTTGGTATTTTAGTTTATAAAAAATAGCTAATATATTAAAATCACATCTACTTTAGTTTGGTTTCGTTTATATACTATTGATTTTCGGTTTATTTGATTTTATATCAAAAACCATAAATATATTTATATTTTATAACATTTTATAAATTTTACTTCATAGGATTAAATATCGATTTTACTAAAACATAAAAATCTTTCAGTTTTAAACATAATATTTTCGACTTTATTATACTATTTAAAATAATTAGTAAACATATTAATTAATAATAAGAATATTTTTTATAAACTAAAAAAAAAATAGGAATACGATAATATTATTAAATAACTAAATATTAACACAAATATTTAAAATTTATGTTTATTTAATTTGATAAAATAATTTTGAGCTTAAATCAAACTAAGAAATTACTAAAGTTAGCATTTTAAATATATAAAACATATTAATAAGATAAAAATATATATTATCAATTATATAATATAATTTACATATAATTATACTATTATATTTTAGTTAATCGGTTTATATGGTTTAATCGGTATGACCGGTTTATATACCAAACCATTCATATACCGCAGTTTTTCAAAAACAACATTCATTCGGTAAAATCGGTATTACCAAATCCCAACCATTTTTCTATTTTGGTTTGGTTTGGTTTTAAATGGTTCGGTTTTACCGGATTGAATACCCTACTTTCATTAATTATTTTGTACTAATTCGATATATAATTCAGTATATTTTCATTACATTTATTGTTTTGTTGTGTTGTATTCATCCAAAATTTAAATTTTATTATTCCTTTAATTATTTTTTTAAATTTAATGCCTGGTTAACACTTTGTTAGTAAAACGATAACCTAATGTTATGGAGGATGGTAATATATATATAGGGGTGCAAGAGTACGTGACTTGCCGTGAAGGCGACGTAAGACGACTTCCGTTCGGTGACAACTACTTCGACGTGGTGGTCTCGGCGGTGTTTCTCCACACAGTTGGGAAAGAATACGGTCAGAAAACGGTGGAGGCGGCGGCAGAGAGGACGAGAGTGCTAGGTGAAGTGGTGAGAGTGTTGAAACCCGGCGGCGTTGGAGTGGTGTGGGACCTTGTACATGTGCCAGAGTACGTGAGGCGGTTACAGGAGCTGAGGATGGAGGAGATTAGGGTTTCGAAGCGAGTCACTGCGTTTATGGTTAAGAGCCATATGGTCTCGTTTAAGAAGCCGAGTCAGCATTTTGTAGGCTCTGGAGAAGTACGTTTAGATTGGAGATGTTGAATGACGTGGAATTATAAGAATCTATAGTTTCTTATTCTGATTAGCGAATATATGCGGCCAAAATATAAGTGATGTCCATCGATTGGTAGTGCATGATTGGGTATAGGTTGATTTTATGTTGTGGAGAGCTTTTGAAACACTAAGTTGGTCTTGAATTTGTGTTTCAAATCTGTGTTTCAAAAAGATCCATTATGTTTCAAAATTTTATTAACCAAGTATCAAAAGATGCATTAAGTTCAAGTTTAGAACGATTCATACAAAAATATGTACTAATTATACTTTGATTGGATAACCTCAACCGTTAAAAAGAGATTAACTTGTGTCTCCATATCTATACTATTAAAGCTGAAGTACAAAAAATTAAGTGTTTGGAAACATGAATATGAAGTATTTAAAATTATGATGATTGGAAACAAGGATAGCATACAAATCTAATGAGCTTACTTATTAAACTAAAAATTACTGCGGCCCAAATATCATTATTATTGTTTTTGGGTTTTCTATCATTGATATTACTTTATTTCTAAAAATTATTTATAAATATATGTACTCATGTTTTAAATGTATTTGGAATAAATCAAATATAGTATATATTTTATTTATATAATTTATATTAACTATTGTTATAAGTTTTTAGCAGTAATATACTATCCTTCCAATTCTTCATTAAAAAATGAACTTAAAAATTTGACTAAATTGTTTAGTGTTTATAACTTTGCACCAAATTTAGTAAAAAAAATATTTATGGGTCACAACATTTTACCGACGTCCTGTTACAGAATACAGTGATGAAATACAATGTTTAAACATAATACTATTACTTAGTAAAATTAGAACCGTAAAATTGTAATTTTTAAAATATTTATATATACCATAAAAACAAAGACCCGCCCAGTCGGGCGGGTTATGATCTAGTTCTAGTTAACATTGTAGATCATTTTAACACTTGATCTAACGAGTAAAACTGGTAGTAAAATATTATAAATAAAATATAAAAAAAATTAATGAATATTTCGAATTGGAAATACATCTATGAAGATACAATAACAATATCAGATCGATCTTATTTCTACTCCAAAATAAATAAGGTTATTCTTTCAGTAAAGAGTTAACTAAAGGTTTTCATACCATAATAACATAAATATATTTCTAAGTCAATCAAATCACTGAAAACATAGTATATCTTCCAAAACACATTTTGTTACTAAATTATAGAAAATTATAGAGAACTATACCCTTATAGAGAATTATACCTTCTCTTTCTCTCTTTTTCTTTTCTTTTTATTTTTCAGTATTTATTTATAAAAAGCCAGTCTTAATTTATCAATGCACATACCTTAATACAATTTTTCTTAAAATTTTAACAAATCTCATACTTCAGATATATTTTTTCTCTCTGATAACATTACTTTTAGGCATCTCCACCCCCACTTCATTCTTGACTCTAAATTTCATTTTGGAGTAAAACTTTCTCCAGTCCCATTCTATATTCAATTCCAAAATAAAGTAAAGGTTAGGATTACTCTATTTATGGTTTGAATATTTTTACTTCATATTAAAATAATATTTAAATTTCTATAACAACATATAAAAATGTGATATTACACAAAATAATATTTCATATGATGGAAATTCCACCAATTGAAGTTATAAGAGAACCACTATATGTAAATATTGAAATTACATAAAATAAAAATGTCTGATTTCATAACTTTCTTGTTCCATTTAGGAAAATTAAAGATTAAAAATCTCATTATTAATTTTCATTAATAAATAAAATATGGTATCTTATATATTGTAAGATAAAAAAATATGGTATCTTATATACATATATTATGATTTATTGTAACGTTTACTAAATAAATGATTAATTTAAATCAAATTCATTTTATGAAAGTTTTAATAGTTGAGTTAATTTTAAAACTTTTAAAAGTTGATGATGGTATTACTAATAATTATTAACTAAATAAAATAGAATCATTTGGAAATATTCATTTTTAGAGTAAAAATGAAGTAATATATTGGAGTAAAATCCGATTTTATTTTGAAGTTAAAATATTTAAAATGTAAAATGATGTAATACATTGGAAATGCTCTTAGACAACACAGCAACTAGGATTGGTTTGTTCTCTCTCGAATATATGTAGCAAACTCGAATTAATGTGATGGGAGCCAGCTTAGAAAATTAGGTTGGAAGTTAATGCTACGAGCATGCCAAATCTAGGGAGTTGATTATGTGGAAGACTTTAGTTTGCTTGAAAATGAAGTGATAGTTACTTAGTTAGTACATAGTGTCAGCGTTAGTGTGTCACTATCGATTTATTGATTTCATTCAACTAATTTAATTAATCAAACTTTTGACACTTTCCGATTTTTGTAATACGATTTATATTGTCTGACCTATTTGTAGTGCTACTCGATCCACACAAAATAAAAGGATCTATCTGACAGACTGGGAGCTAACATTCTGGTGTGGGGGCAATCTTCTTTTCACTGTCTCATCCTCTTTTGTCTTCTTCTCTTCTTTCTTCTATGTTTTACCTGGTAAACGTGTTAGAAACGAACCATGTTAATATTGTTGACTATGTTCTATTCTTTATTTTATCTCGAGTTAAATGTTGCAGACTTGCAGTAGTATCCTCATTCGGTTCACGAAGCAGTATTATATTTTTCCTATCAAGATTCTCTCGAGAGTTTTGAGTTAAGTTCCTCTACCTAACGTATTAAAAGTTTCCTTTTTAACACAAATATATTAAGAGTTTTGATTGACATTCATTTGGTCTGTAATAATATCAAAGAAAAATGTTGTTTGCGTAATTTAACCTCATTGACAATCCATGAACGCAATTCTTTCATATTTCTAGGTTTGCAAATCAACAAAAAAAAATACAATAAAATACTTGTTGTTCTCGCAGAAAATACTCTATAATGAAACTTCGAGTCAAGAGTGGAAAAGTTGAAGTGAAGCACCTTTACTCTACTTGACAGGGACGCAATAGGAAGAACTGAGAAGTGGAGGCAAAACGCACACTAAGTGAGGACCCGGTGGATTGCAGCTTACATTTGCTTCTTCCACGTTTGGCAAACCGAGCTGAGGAGGACGTACATAACCCGCAACTAATGGAACACACAGTATCGATATTACCACCCTTGATCCTGTAATAGTTTTTTTAATCACCACAACAAACATATCATCATTGGTATGCAATGTCTTTCTTGCAACAAAACAAGTAAGAAGAAGAATAAAGGTTACTTTACCTTGCTCCTCAGAGAGAGAGACATAACCTCTCTTCCTACCCGCAATCATCCAGTTCTCCGAATTTGCATTAACTTCGTATAACACCTCATCCTTGTCCAAATAAAACAATAACAAATTCAAAATGGAAAGTCTGGTAATGATGAATTATCAGCAAATAACACTCACAAGGTAAAGGTAATATATAATATAAATAGGAAGCTACATCAACTAGCTCGATCTGGAGATAACTTACATGTTGTTGTTGTTCTATGGCTTCACTTCCCTTGAGCTCTTTCAGCCTTTCTACTCTCCACTGCATGGTAATAAGTTTCCCGACCCTAAGACCATCAGAAGGAAGTGGGAGGAATCCAACTGTCAGGCAAGGATCAAGCACTGGACGCTGCAAAACAATAGCACTCTTGAACACCAAATCTCTCGTTTCACCTTCAGCTCCAGAGTGATCTGCATCCACTGGTTTGTGTGCTCCAGCGACTCTATCACCGTGGATCTCATATTTGATATTTAGAATGCTCTCTGGTACCTGCAAATCTTTCCCTAACGTTGTGCAAACAGTTAATTAGTGTGCAATTATCCACAGCATCTTTTATAAAAAAAAAATTGTTGCTGGTTTAGTATGCAAAAGTGATTTCTTATGCCAATAGCTACTCTGCATGAGTTATTGAGGAAAGTACAAGTCAGGGTTCAAGACTTCTGACACGTTCTACAAGTGGATCTTCTTATTTATTATATGTTACATTATCCTTATTATGCGCACTGTTTTGAAATTAGATATAGCTCTCAAATTGTAGATAGCTGTATCAATTCAAGTGTGTTTACAAAAAAGGTAGGAAACAGAGTGATATTAGCAGTAATGTATAAGAATAGGAATACCTGATGACATCGTCTTGTCTATGGTGATGCTGAATACGACTGCTGCTCTAGATCCCGGTGACACAACAAGCGGAAAGAACGTTGAAGTTGGTCTTCCATCACTTTTTCCATGAACAAATCCCTCTTGAAGATCAAGCCAAGCATCAAGAACTATCAAGTTGGCCTTGACAAGGGAGTGTAGCATAACCTGTACACAGAAATTAGTTACTTGATTAATAAAACATTGAGAGGACGTGAATAAGAATGAGGGGACTGCGAGGTTAAAGGATATATAAAAATTCAATTTAAAAGAGCTCGAGTTGGCTACCTGCAAGACCAATGTGCCATCATTGCATTTGTTTGCCACCCTTGTAGTCACGTCAAAAGGGTCGGTGAAATGTGCAGCTATCGTTCTGCTCACATAACAAAATCAGAGGGAGATTTGATGAGAAAAGAACTGTTTCGGGAGGCCAGGCCTATGATGTGAAACAAATACAATACCTCTCAAAAATCTGGTTATGATGTACCCCAAATTCAAGTTTAAGTGCAACAGTTCTCATTCCCTCTAAAATATCTTGTTTCAGCGGAGTGACTGTTAACGCAAAAGAAAAAGGATCAGTGGCCGGTGGATGTGACTAGAGACGTCTAATAATCAGAAAATAATGTATTGCTGCAAACCTGAAGATGACCCTCTAGCAAGCTTCTCACTTAGCGCACGAACAGGGACCCATAGAATAGAACTGACATTGCTTGCCCATTCTGAGAAAACTATTTTACCGTCGCAGAGATTAAGTACCTCTGATTCACGATTTGAAGCGACAGGACTATCTTCTACAGAGTCTTCAGCTTTTGTTGCACCAGCATCACTATCTGTTTCCATGTATCTCTCCATCTCAATCCCGTACGAGTCTTCAATCTTCAGCCCTGGACCAGTATCAATGTGCAAGATGGCGCCTTTCAGTGAATAATTGATAGGGCGTACAATGACACCAATCCACTGAGCTTCATTTATAAGCAGTGCAGAAGATACAGCCGCAGAAAGATCAACAAGAGCTCTTGGTTTGGCCACCTAAAGATCAGTTAAGGAAAAAATGTTACATAAGAGTATCACTACTCATGCATGTAACTAACGATTTTCTACTGTTCCAAAAGCTGTAAAAAAATTCTTAGAATTGCAAGATC